CAATCCCTTCTCCTCCATTCTCCTCTCAGGATCTTGGGAACGCACGCACCCTGTGTACCCCGGCGTGAGTTTTAAGCCACCGGGTCCGGGACGCAAACCGCAGTCGACTATGTGGGAGTCCAGTGACATAGCCATTATGCTAACTGCTGGTTCCCAATATTTATACCATTTTAAAATGTATCTTTGCTTCTATATCATCCTTCCTGCTTACAATGGAATTGATCAAGTTTTTTAGGATTTAATCATATGTTTGCCAATTTCTCTGCTCATCATTGCCTCTTAGATTCTACATTTTCTTTCTGGGTCCTTTCTAACATATGTTCTTTTGTAGTTCTTTTGGTGATTAGTAGAAAATTCTCTTAATATTTACTTGTCTTGGACAGGCAGGTGGTGTGGTGGTTAAGGTGGCCGGACTCCCACATGGCTGACCATGGTTCAAGTCCCAGATCTGGCAGCTTTCTTTCTCACTTTCCTTCTCTTTCTCTGTCTCTCTCTGGTCAACTTCAAAAAAATTAATTCATTTCTTTAAATTTGACCAGAGAGAGACAGAGAGAGAGAGTGAGAGAAAGCTAGCCACCAGGTCCAGGACTTGAACCATGGTTGGCCATGTGGGAGTGTCCAGCGCCTTAACCACCACGCCACCTGCTGGGCCCCAAATAAAATGAATCTTTAAAAAATATTTACTTGTCTTAACAATTTATTTTGCTCTCAGTCCTTGAAAAAATATTTCCCATTAGCAATGGAAAATGTAGCTATTTTAATTTTATTCTATATGTCTTTTAATTTCCCTATCATATATATATATTTTTTACCTCTCTGTGATGGATTATAGAAACTTCTGGTTTAGGGACCAGCAGTTAGCATAATGGCTATGTCACTGGACTCCCATGTAGCCAACCACGGTTTGAATCCCAGACTCGGTGGCTTAAACTCATGGGCACATGTGCATGCGTGCCCAAGATCCCGAGAGGAGAATGGAGGAGAAGGGATTGTGGCATGGCCATCCCCCCTGGGGGGTGAGTTCTCGCTTTCTATCTCTCTGTCTCTCTCTGTCTTTCTGGAAAGCTCACATGCCCTATAGCAAAAACTTCTCCAAAAAAAAAAAAAATGATAAGAAGAAGAAACTTTTGGTTTACTAATTCTCTCGTTGTGTGTTTCTAACCTGTTATCAATCTGTTCACTAATTTTTTTAAAAGGAGGTATTATTGGATTGTCTGCACTCTATGGTAGAGATGAAAAGATTGGAGGACATAAAAGCAGTGACAATAGTTATGGACACTGGAGACAGTGTGAAGGGAGAGTGGGAGAAGGGAAGCGTATAGGGAAGGAAATCAGGGAGAAAAGGAGAGGCAAGACATTTGTGGGACGCAGAAGCGGTTTATTGACTGTTGACGATAATGTGTGTAATATTCTCAACCGGACTGGCCTGAGGTGTATTTCATGTTGGGTAGATTCTCTCTCCCTCTCTCTCTCTCTCTCTCTTTTTGAGAGGTTTTTGCTATAGGGTGCATGTACTAGCCAGAGAGACAGAGAGAGACAGAGAGAGACAGAGAGACAGAAAGCGAGAATCACCCCCTGGGGTGATGGCCACACCACAATCCCTTCTCCATTCTCCTCTCAGGATCTTGGACATGCACGCACACACGCCTAGTTTAAGTCACTGGGTCCGGGATTCAAACTACGGTTGACTGCATGGGAGTCCAGCGACATAGTCATTATGCCAACTGCTGGTCCCAAGGGTAAATTCTCTTTAGAAGCCAAATGATGTATAGCGATGGAATGTTTAAAAAAATAAGAATAATAAAAACTAAATAAAGTAAAAAAAGAAAAAAAAAGAATCTCTTAGTGGGAAGAAAAGGAGGTATTATTTTGGTAAAATATAATGCATATTTAGAACTGTGTATAAAACACAGATTTACAACTAACTTAAGTATTTTCAAGTGAACATCTTTAAAACACTCATCCAGGTCTAGAAATAGAAATTTCTGAGTAGCCACAGTTGCATTTTATGCATCCTTTCACAATCTCCTTACACTTTTTTTTAAACATCATAAATGTATTAAGTCCCAACTCTGGAGGTCAGAGGTCCCAGTGGCTCATGTGGGTTCTCTGCTCTGGTCTTTCTAGGCTGAAAAGCAGCGATGAGCGAGTGTGACTCTTAGCTGGAGGCTGGGGAGGAAACTGTTTCCCGGAGCACTCAGGCAGCACCTGGTTCTTGGTGGCATGGGTCTGAGGTTTCCTCGCTGCCATCTCTCTGGGCTGCCGTCAGCTTGCAGGGCTGCCTACAGCCTGGAGGCCCTCCCTCCATCCTCAGAGTCAGCAGTGGAGAACTCTCCTGGAAGCATCCCTCTCAAGCTTCCAGTCTGTCTGACTGTAGACTGGTGTCTCCGCAGCTCCTCTCCAAAACCCTTCTGACATTTACATGAAGTGATATTTAACATATAGTATATAATTTATTAAGTGATTCTTTGCATCAGTAGCCACATGTGGATTTATCTGCCTTCCTTTGCTTGTCATTGATATGTCCGTGTATGCAGCTGTTCATTCATATTTATTGCTGCTGTGTGTAACGTCAGGCTTCTCAAGGTTTTGGTAATCCTTGGCCCTGTCACTTAGAATTCACTGTATAAGAGTTCATTTACATAAAAGACAAAACCAGGCAAAAGTAGAGTTTGTACGAAGGACTTGACAGGCCCCCAAATTACATAAAAGGTCAACAACCTGCTTTGTCAGGATCCAAATTTTACTTGTCATTGAAGGAAGAAGCAAATACAGAATAATACATAGAGTATGATTCCATTAAAACAGACGTACTCCTGCACCTATGCACCTAAACACATGTACATGTTTATCTATGAAATAATTCTAGAATTCTAAAGGGGCTACACTGTTACCAGTGACTACCTCTGGTATATAGGAAAGGGAGAGGACTCCGGAGGGTGGAAAAGTGTGTGTGCAGGAGGGGGGCTATGGGGACAGATACTTACACATTTCACTCCTTGGATATTTTTGCTTGTTTACGGTTAGCATTTTAAAAATAGTATCAGCAAAAGTTCTGTTATCAGAAGAAGAAAGGAATGAGGACCCACTTTGGGGTGCCGTGGCCTACTCTCTGGGCTCCCTGCTGTACCTGCCAGTTACCTTCCGGAGCGCGGCAGAGTGAGCCGTAAGCAACCGGAGTCCTCCCTTCTATGTTTCAGACCCTGTAGTAGCTGGTCTTCGGCTCATGGAAACCTGACTTTAAACAGCACCCCCAAATTGAAGAGAATACATCCATTGCAAGCAGTTCTAAGCATCAGGCTGCTGGCCCACTGGCATCCAGAAGGGGAGTGAAACCCCAGGGCCAAAGGAAAATGCAACCACTGTCCCACTCGCTCTAGGAACCAGCAGGACTCCTGACCTTCCTCATCTCTCCCAGAGAGGGAGGCAGGGAGGAGGTGGGAGGAGGCGGGAGGAGGCAGGGAAGCAGAGGAGGCTATTCAGGTGTCAGGGGTTCCTGACCGTGGTGAGAGGCTTTCCTTCAGGCTCAGCTTCGTTGATCCCCATGGAATCTCGGCAGCCTGCTCCTCGGGCTGCATCCACTGCAGGACACCTGCCCCAGTCCAGAACAGTAGGTGCACGCGACCTGACACACGTGCTGTTGTGAATGAGCCCGCCCTGTGCCCCCAACGGCCTTAGGAGGAACCTCTACACTTGCCGTCATCTCACAGATGGACAGAGGCTCAGGCTGTGAAATGACCTGCTCAAGTTGACACAGCAGGCAGTGGCAGAGTCAGACCCAGCCCAGCCGGTCCGCCCCCTGCCTGTGCTCTTGACCGCTAACTCTGAGACAGGGCACCATGGCCCAGGGAGTCCAGCGAGTGGGCACCGGCTTGGCCCGAGTGCAGTGAGGACAGACACCCGCTGTAAGCTGATGGGTTCTGACTCTGCAACCAGGACAAGCTGCTTCCCTCCTTTGAGCCTGGATATCCACCGCTGTAAAACGGAGACAATACCTTTTCTCAGAACTAGAAGTAAGATAGAGCAGAGCAGCCACTACCAGCCCAAGCACCGAGGAATTCAGCAAAGACCGCCACACCACTCCCGTCATTGCTGTCCCTTGGACTAAGGGACATTCCTTTCTCCCTTTTTCTGAACAAGCTGGAATAGAACACTGAACTTCTCCCGGTGGGGACTACGATGAGATCCACCCAGGGGCCTGCTCAGACTGGAGGTGGACACTTGAAAGTGTCTCACTCGGACCCGCAGGGTGGCCCCTTCATTTCATCACCACGGCCACCTCCCTGCCCCATCTCGGCTTCATCCCGCAGACTTCCTGACTTCCGGCATTACTTCTCTCTAACGTGCTGTATGCTGCCCCCGTGCAGCCCCCCGCCCCCGCCGTGAGGCCGCCGCTAACCCCTGCCCCTTTTCTTGTAACGCTCACCCCACTCTGGCCCCGCAAACTCCTCTAACACAGCCGTCCCTCCTCCAGAACCCCCGCACCTGTGCTCAATCCACACCTCTGCATGTGTTCGCCACTGCCAGGCTTGCCTCCCTACCGCACCCTGTCCCACTCCGCACTCGAATCCTCCATGAAGCTTCTGGAATCCCACCCTCACCAGAGCGAGGGACCTCCTCCTCTGCCCCACTCTTGTTGTTCCTCTGTTTCTCAATGAGATGCTTGAGGGATGATGAGACGATTCACCACGTTAGAAATCTGCCTCCCCTGCTCTTCTCTCCTCCCTGAGGCCTGGTTCTGGGCTCGCTTACTACACTGGAGCTGGCAAGGGGTTTGGCACACAGCAGGTTCTTACTGTTTAGAGCATGGACAGCTGAAGACCCACTACATCTCAGTAAAAGGACAAACTGTCTAATTACCAGAGTTATTCATGTAGATAGGCTGCTAGGGAGCACCCTAGCCTCGGGAGTGAGGAGAGGCCTGGACCTAGTTCCTAAAGACAAAACCAAGCGTGAGTCACACCAGAACCACCCGGAGTGCTGGGGACTCATGGAGACCCCCAGCTCAGGCGATTCTAAGGCTGCAAGGCTGGGACACCAGAAATCTATACTAGGAGTACACGGGGCACCGGAATACATGGGGGTGCCGGAGGACATGGGGTGTTGGGGCACACAGGGTGCTGGAGAACACAGGGGGCTGGGGCTCACTGGGTGCCGGGGTACACAGGGCGCCGAAAGACACGGGGGCTGGGGCTCACTGGGTGCCGGAGTGCATGGGGATGCAGGAGGACACGGGATGCCAGAGCACACGGGGTACCGGAGGTCGCGGGGTACTGGAGTACACAGGGGGCTGCTGCACCCCGTATCAGGTACTACTCAACGTTGTGACCCTGGAGGTCATTTGCGATCGGTCTTGTGTGAGAAGGCCCCTCACGAACTGCGCCGCACAGTCCTCAAGTCTTGGTTCCGGGTGTTACCCAGAAGCCGAGACTGAGGACCTGCAGGCTCAGGCCGGGCTACAGCTCCTCGGACTCGGGGAGGTGGCGGACCCAGCCCTGGGCCACTCTATTGAAGTTGGGTCTGAGGCGCAGAAGTTCCAGGCCACTGAAGGGCTCCTGGACAAAGGGGGTGGCTGCTCTGGGAATGAACTCTCCCACGAGGGGTCCTCCAAATGGCACTGGGGTCCTGGGGAAAGAAAAGCAGGAGAGATGGGGTATGTGGGAAGATGGCAGACACTCACAGGGGGTCGCCTGCTCTCAAGCCTCAGTTTCCCCTCGTTGTCCTATCTTTAACAGGTTTCTCCAACTTGGCCCATTCTCAGGTCTGCCCTAGAAGGGGTGGCTAGTTGCTGCAATAGGAGTGACGTCTCCTGGGTTACAATTGGTTTGTCCCCAGCAAAACTCCAGGCTCCCCTTAAGTGAGCTCCAGAAGAGAAGAGAGTTGGAAGTAGGGGTTTTCTTGCTTCCTGTCACCTCCTCTTAGAAAAACATGCCCACTGACCAAAGAAAGAAGCAAGGACCAGAAGAAGCGCTAAGAAGGCCAGCTCCATGACCTGGTGGTTAAGGGAGGGGGATATCAAAAGCCTATCAACCATGGTTTGAATCCCAGCCCCAGTGGCTTGAAAATCCACCAAGCATGTGTGTGCGCATGCCTCAAATCCCAACAGAAGAAGAAATGGAGGAGAAAGGATTACAGTGCGGCCCCCGCCCTAGGGAAGGGTGCTCTCTTCTTCTCCCTCTCTCTCTCTGAAAAGCGCACCATACCTCTGGCAATTTAACACAAAGAAGAAAAGGGAAGTGCCCTGAGAATCAGGGAAATACAAATTCCAACAGAAACATGCCATTTCTTCCTTATGAGACTGGCAAAATGAAGTCATTTGAGAATAGGGCCAGGCTGTGAGGTGGGGGGTGGGGGGGAGGCAACATGTCACTCGTGAGCTGCTGGTTAGAGGACAGTTGGTGCTGCTACGTTGGAGGACAACCTGGCCTGCTCCTCCTAACCTGGAGATGTGTAGCCCTGTCACCCAGCAACTGCAGCGCCAAGCACGTGGCTCGGAGAAGCGCATGCACACACGGACAAGGGTGTGGGCCTGAGTGGTGCATCAATACCCAACCTGAGGGCCCAGCAGATGGCATAGTGCTTATGATGCGGGACTTGGTGGCTAAAAACTAACACTAGCCGGGTGCGTGTGCGCGCCCAAAATCTCAAGAGGAGACTGGACAAGAAGGGATTGTGGCGTGGCCATCCTCCCTGGGGAGTGATTTCTCGCTTTCTGTATCTCTGTCTCTCTCTGTGTCTCTGGTGAGTGCATGAGCTCTATGGCAGAAATCTCTTTAAAAATAAAAACGTGACCTGAAACAGCACACATGTGCACAGGCAGAGGAACTGCCAAGACAGACAGATGGTAGGAAGGGACGTGGCAGGAAGGAACTAGAGCTATGAGGGGACTTTTAAAAGGTTCATGGGAAAACAAAACTGAAGGACAAGTTTATTTGGGTGCCAAAAAAACCTTGAAATCCATGCATGGTTTTTCATTAAACATGTTTTCCTTGGTCTTTCTTTTTATTGAATATCTGTGCTTTCACCAAGGAGAGACTGAGAGACAGAGGGCAAAAGACCCCCCAGATGGGGTCTGATCATGTCTCAGACCTTTCTCCGCTTCTCCATCCCCTTGGGATTTGAGGACGCACATGCACAGGTGCCGAGCACATTTTTCAAGCTGCTACAGCCAGGATTCAAACTGTGGTCAGCCATGTGAGAGCCAGCTCCCATAACCACTATGCTATGGGGCCAGCCCTTTCCATAACTTTTGGAAGACACCCTCATACATGAATTTGCATGATAGGTTTCAAAAGCAGAATGTCCAGTGAAATAAACATGCTACATAATGAAATGCAAAGTATTAAATTACACACACAACCCCCCAAAACAATGACCTCTGTCCTCTAGGCACGCAGCCACCCTTGCAAATAGTCTTAAATATCCACTCCACCAACCCGGCATCGGCGTCACCTCTAAGAAGGGATCCGTGGTGGGAGGATGGGGAGCACAGGGGCCCTACCTTTCTTTGTGGTTGTCTTTCCTTTTTTCTTTTTAAAGAGAATATATGTATGTGATTTAAAATCTATTTCTTAATTTTAAGAAAAATAAAAAGCATTACATGTGTAATGTTTTTGCTGCAGCCTGGGGCCAGGGGGAGTGCTTACCTCAGGGCTGGAGAGGCAGACTGTGGGCCAGGGCCTGGGTTCCCGCCAGGAAAGCTTTTCTGCCTGGACCACCCCAGCTCTGGCGGCAACAGCCAGGCCCCGTGGGAACACGCTGGGCGATCTCCAAGCCAAGCAGGCCTCATTGCTGGCCCTTAACTGGGAGCCCAGAGGCCCAGATTCTGAGCCCAGCCTGACCATCAACACGGCTGCTCCTCCTCTCCTTGCCTCACTTGTTCTGTCCCAGAAGGGCCCTAAGCGCCTCCTTCTGCCGTGGGAATGTGCCTCAGCCTGTCACTCCTGAGGCATGGGAGTGCGACCTGAGCTGGCCCGCCTGAAAGCTGCTGGGACTAAACCTCTGCTGAGGGTTTAAACAGCTGGACAGGCAGGGTCTGGGCACCCAGGAGGGGACAGAGCAGTTGTATGGTAGTGCCTGGCCGGGAACTCCAAGTTTTCTGCCAATGGCTTTTGGCTCACACACCATCTGCTGGGTCCAGGTCTCCCCATCAGGGCCCTCCCTCGCCACTCAGCTGTCCCAGGGCCCCCCATGTCCCTCCAGAGCCATCTCTTCTCAATGCTGAGCACTTCCAGTTCCTCCAGCCCCTCCTCATAAGGCCCCCTCTGCTGGCCTGGCCAGGCCTGGGTGCCCACCCGTCTGTCTTTGTCAGACACAGTCTCCGTGTGTGTGGTCTGAGCCAGCTCCAGAAGAGCTGGACCGAGGCCTCCTCTCTGCGGACCTTCCTTCTCCTCACTTAATGCAGTCTCAGCCAGGGGAGCAGTTCAGAAATAGCATCAGACAAGGAAGCCAGTTTCGTGGAAATGCATCCCAGCCCCAGGCCTCCCTGCAGTGCCAGGAGCCTGTCTTGACTTACGACTTGTTTTCAGGCCCTTAGGGCAGAATGCTAATTTTATCCCTTCCATTTCTCCCCTGTTGTCTTTCCCATCATCATTGTAGCCTGTGAATAATAAGAGGAGCAGCTACAGTTCATTGAGAACTTACTACTTGCCAGAATCTCTGCCTGTGGGTGTCTGGTCTCCCTAGGAGCAACCTGACACAGTAGGTGCTGTTATAAAAGCCTTACTCTCAGGGCAGGACGGGGCACTGGAGGCTCAGTGATGTCGATTCAGTGACCCAGAGTCACAGAGGCAGGCCTGAAGTCAGCCTTTAAGCCCACGTTGAGGCCTTGGGCTCTAGACCAGTACCAGCCACTCCTCGGTGACCCTCACTTCTGGTGCCCAAGGTTTCACTGCCACTTCCTGCTTTAGGGGGTCTCAAACCACTTTCTGGATCTCTTCCACTTGGGGGGCGAGAGGAAGGAAAGACTGGGCTGACCTAGGACCCATGAGATCTGCTCCCCACCCCCTCCCGAGTCAGACAGGCCTGGGTCCCCAGGGCGATGGGCCTCCCTGTTCTGTGGCTTGGATCAGGCTACTGGATTCCCAGCCTCAGCCCTTCACCTGCAGAACTGGAGCAATGGCCGCCCCTGCTCACCCTGTAGTGGAGAGGACTCAGCAGAAAAGTGGCACCTTCCTCATTCGTTCCTCCTGCATTTACTGAGCACCTACTGGGTGCTGGGGCACTGTTCTGGCCAGAGCAGAGTAAGCGGGTATCCCAAGGGCTGGGGACAGAGCCAGCACGCGCAAAGCGCTCAGGCTGCGCTGTGGCTGCGACAACGGCCCCACCCCCGCCCTACCCCGTCTTTCCCGAGGGAAGACCGTCCTGCCTTACTTGTTGAAGTTTCGGTAGTCGGCAGGGCTGGGGGTGTGACTCCGAGCCTGGGCCTCGCTCTGGTAGTCCTGGTAGCTGACAAACTCCTGCCACGGGCAGCGGTAGCCCTTGGGAATGGCCGTGTGGTTGAACTTCTCCGGGGGGACACCCTTCAGCGGCTCCGCGTAGCCTGCGGGCGGAAGGGGGCGCCCAGCTTTTCTTCAGCCCTCATCCCTACCCGTACCCCGCGGAATGGGAGGGAGGATCGAAGCTAGGAAGGTGGGGGTATGGGGAGCCAAGTTGTTCTAGCGAAGGCGACCATGCAGCGTCCCAGGGAACCAGGAGTCCGGGGTGCGGGTTCTTGTCTGGTCAAGTCTCTGACTCGCTCGTCGCTGCCCTTCTCTGGGTTTACCATCCAATCTGTGAAGCGTGTTTGCGTGTGCAGGGGAAAGAGGTGGCCTGGGAGCCCCCTGGGCGCACTTCCTGCCCCACAGTTGCCCACACCCACGGCCCAGGCCCCCCCCCCAGCCCTGTCTCGGGCCCCAGGGAGGGCACCCACCTGGAGCCAGGGCGCTGGGGCTGCGGGCACTCTCTGCCCGTGCGGCTGCAGGGTGGGAGCCCTCAGGGCCTCTGGTCGAGCCCGGGTAGATGTGGAGCTCCGAGCGGTAGTTCTGCCCCTCGTGGCCCTCAGGGCCGTTGGCAACCTGGGCACAGGCACGGCACGGGTGCTTAGACACAGCGGGCCAGACCACAGCGTCAGCGTTGGGGCCTCCCCACCCTGTCCCCTCCTTCCTCTGTGAGGTCTCCCTCTGTACTCACCTTCCCTGGCTCCGCTGTTGCAGTCACCTTCCTTCTGGCGCTTCCAGCCAGGAGCTGTGGAGGGGCAAATATGCCATAGAAGGGCTCAGCAGGTCAAGGGCCAGGGTCTTCCTCCACCACAGAAAGGAGAGCCCATCTCCAGGGGACCTTGGGGGCGTTAATAGTTTGCTAAACTGTAAGCCCAGCACCAGGGACAGAGGGACCGAGAAATACTCAATATTTACTCTTTTTTTTTTTAGAGGTTTTTGCTACAGGGCACGTGTGCTTGCCAGAAAGACAGAGAGACAGAAAGCGAGAAATCACCCCCCCCCCAGGGGGGATGGCCACTCTGCAATCTCTTCTCCATTCTCCTCTCAGGATCCCGGCATGAGTTTAAGCCATCAGGTCCGGGACTTGAACTGCGGTTGACTACATGGGAGTCCCGCAACATAGCCGTTATGTCCACTGCTGGTCCCAATATTTACTCTTGCTATGGTAATATTGCATCTGGCCAAGGTCCTTCACTTCCCTGAGCCTGTTTGGTCTCTACAAAAGGGGATGATGATGGCAACCCTACCTCCCAGGGTTCTATGGGCATGGAATGAGATAAATTATGTCACGTGCTTAGCTAGTACATCAGGCACCAAGCAGAGGTCAGTGTTTTCTTAAGAGAGATTTTTGCTTCAGGGCGAATGTGCTCACCAGAGAGACAGAGAGCGAGAAATCACCCCACCACCACCACCACCACCACCACCAGGGAGGATGGCCACGCCACAATCTCTTCTCCTCCAGTCTCCTCTTGGGATTTTTGGCACACACACACAAGTGCCTGGTGTGAATTTTAAACCACTGGGTCCGATACTCAAACCAGTCAACTATGTGAGAGTCCAGCGATGTAACCATTACACTGTCTATGGCATGAGTTTTAAGCCGCCAGGTCTGGGACTCAAACCATGGTCAACTATGTGGGAGTCCAGTGATGTAACCATTACATCATCTGCTGATCTCTGTTTTGCCTTTTTGAAGAGGTTTTTGCCTTAGGGCATTGTGCACTAGCTAGAGAGGAGAGACAGAGACAGTGAGAGGGAAAGTGAGAAAAGACTGCCCCCCTGGGGGGGATGGCCATGCTGCAATTCCTTCTCTATTCTCCTCCTGGGATCTTGGGCACTGACACACAAACACACATGTTTCAAGCCGCTGGGTCCAGGGCTCGAACCACATGTGAGAGTTCAGTGACATAACCACCCTGCCATTTGTTGGTCCCCAAAGGTCAGTGTTTTGCCATGTCCATTTTTCTGCATCACCCTCTCTCACCTGCCCGGGAATTGAATGGAGAGTGGATGTGGTACCCCCGACTTCATTAGAAGTACTTGAAACTGCCTGCTGCTTTTTCCAAACCTGGGGACACACCATCCTTGCCCTCTTTCTCTAGCAGCAAACTGTTCCTATGGCCTTTTCCTTCTTCCAGTGGAAAGAAGAAACAAGGCATTCTGCGTTTCTACTTGAGATCAAGCTCCAGTGATCGAGCTCAAGCCTAGCTAAGTCCTGCCTGCTGCAGATTTAGCACAGAGTACAGTGACTGTCTTTTAGCAGGTTTGGTGCAGCCAGAGTCTCATCACTCCCTGCCCAATCCACCTTCCATTTTATGCCTGGGGAAGGACACCTGAAGAGATAACACTTTTTTCTTTAAGAGAATTATTTATTAATTTTATTTATTCATTCATTTATTATCCTTAGTTTGACCAGACAGAGAGAGAGAGAGAGAGAGGGAGAGAAGGCGAGAAA